CCAGAATGCTCAGCCTGCCCCTTTATGCACCTAATCTGCATGGAAATGGGCGCGCCCCTTCTGTCTGTCCAGGGGTTTGCACAACGGGTCTCAACATCTGGCCCCCGCTGTGCTCCTGCTAATCCTTCAAATGCTGCAGTGCTTGAGAATGGGCCTGACACGGTGTTCGGATGCACCGCACACTCTTCTCATGCACTAGGGCCAGTCCCTCATCTCCAGCTCCAGCCCCTGCACATCCCGCCAGGCCTGGAGCGAGAGCTCTGCTGGCTTGGAATAGGAGGCTGAGCTGAGCTTCTGTACAGAATCCCCGCTTTCCCCCTCACTTATTTCTCTTTGTTCTGCAGCTGGGGACGTCTGCCAGCTCCCTCCGGACGCTGGCCCTTGTGAGGCCCACATGACCATGTACTTCTACAACCCCGTCACCAAGAGCTGTGAGACGTTCATTTATGGCGGCTGCCTGGGGAACGGGAACAGGTTTGAAACCGAAGAGGAATGTCTGCGGGCGTGTGGACAGCCTGGTAAGAGACTGAGGGAGACTCAGCGAGTTGCGTCCCCATCTGCCCCGGTAATAGAGACCTTTCTGCAAAGATTTGGGGCCACAGAGCCCTAGAACATCCACCACAGCCCACGGCCCCATTGCCCACGCACTGCACAGACACAGAGTAAGGCTTTGTCTACTCTTTCAACACTGAAGCTTTAACACAACAGTGTTGTTGCGGTGTCAGCACTGGCCAATCTCTCTGGGCAGGGGAGGATGATAATTTTGCGGGGCCCAGGACAGCGCCGCGAGACCCGGGGTGGCACAATTTCGCGCATGCACTTCGGGAGCAGCCAACCGGAAGTAGCGTGTGCATGGCGCATGCACGGGGGACTATTGAAGTGCTGGGCCCACGGTAGCCGCTCCACTCTCCCTGCCCTATATCCGCCACTGTCTCTGGGCACTCTGGGGAACCTATCTACACAGGAGGGCGTAGCACCCAGAGCTGGAAGTTCCTGCATTGAAACTTCCTGTGTTCAAGGGCTTGTTTCTCATGCCTCAGAGTGCGAAAGTTTCAGTGCAGTATCTTTCCAGAGTGGAGGAAAATGAGGAGGTTAGTTAAACTGAAATTAAAAAGTACAGTGTCCAAAGTAAAATCTCTGCATGCTGCATGGAAACTTTTCAAAGACACCACAATAGAGGCCCAACTTCAATGTATACCCCCAATTAAAAAACACAGGAAGAGAACCAAAAAGTGACACCGTGGCTTAACAACCAGGTAAAAAAGCAGTGGCCATTCAGTGAACTATCCACCAGGATTCCAAGAGCTTTTTCTTGAGTGTTAACAGCTAGTTTAGACCCCATCATATTGTATATATAGTTGGGATTCTGGTTTCCCATGTACATTGCTTTGCATTGTCAACACCCAATTCCATCTGCCCTTGTGTTGCCCAGTCACCCAGTTCTGTGAGATCCTTTGGTAACTCCTCACACTCAGTTTTAGACTAAACTAGTTGGAGTAATTTGTGGAATCTGTTGGAGACGTCTGCCAGCTCCCTCCGGAGGTTGGCCCATGCAAGGCATACGGACAGCCTGGTAAGAGACTGAGGGAAATTCAGCGAGTCAGGTCCCCATCTATTTGCCACCTCCCTATTTACCCCCTTTTTGAAGAACATTTATACATTTAACAGCACTGGTCCAAATTCAAAGCCTAGCAGCACAACACACATGGCTACTCTTGCTTCCCCACCCTCCATCTTTTAAGTACCTGGCAATGTTTTCATGATGCTCTAACAACCCTTCAGTGACTGGGAGACTGAGGGAAACTCAGCGAGTTGGGTCCCCATCTGCCCCGGTAACAGAGACCTTCCTGCCACACAGCCTGACCTCCATGATAACGGTGGACTGGCTGCATCCCAGCAGTGCTAGAGCACCCACCGCGGCCCACGGCCCATGGCCCAGGGGCTGCGCAGTGTTTCCAGATTTGCCCAATACTCTGGGTTACGCCCATTTATCAGGGTTACTCTGATGGGGCTGGGGGGAGGTTCTCAATTCTATCCGTGTGCTGTTTGTGCTACTTGTGCTCTCATATGGAGCTGAATTCTCCCTGCTGCCAATTCCCCCTCCCACTGGAGCTCTCCTGCAGGAACTAGGTTCCCAGGTGATGATGGGAAGGGCTGGTCTCCATTCTGCATGCTAATGAGTTTTATCTTCAATGCAGATGAGGCTGGGGTGTTTCCTTAATTAGTTGAGGTGTGTCTTGCCTGGACTATTCATGGCTTTGTCTGATTCCAGCTAAGACTGAAGGGAAGTGGGGAGGGGGGATGGTTTTCCATGAATGTCACTCCCTGGCTCCCAGAAGGACAGGGCTTGTCAGTAACAACATCCTGAGATACACGCAGGGTCCCGTCACCCAGCAGCCCCCAGCCGGGGATCCCCTTAAGTCTCTGGGCTAGTTTCAGTCCGTGGCAATGAAGTGGGACTGTCAATGCTAGGGCCCGACTCCTGCAGTCCCTCCTCATGCAGGTCTTCCACTGCAGCTGCCAGGCCTTTCCCCGGCTCAGCATCTCAGGATTTCACAGCTGCACCCACCCCTCGCACAGCAGGGGACCCCCTGTGTGCAGCAAGTCACCTGGTCAGAGGCCAAACTCTGTTTCCTGCTGGCTGCCCTCAGGTGACAAATCCCATTCTTTGGGTGTGTCCATAGCCTATTGAGAGTCATTGTTCCACAGGGCTTTGCTACTCAGCCTGTCCATAGCCATGCTTAACCACATTCACAGAAATATTCAGCTTCCACACAGATTACAGATTCCTACCTACACACATAGACATTAAACACTCACATAAATAGCGTACGTAAGATCAACAAACAACAATCTCCCACTCAACACCCCACATGGCTCCCCCCACACCAATTTCTGGGGCCAACACCCCCACCTAGGGGTGCACCAGCGATCTGGCTGCTTCCCTCCAATTCAGCAACGTGACAGGCATGCCCAGCCTTTTGGTATTCTTAACCACCTACCTCCCTCTTTCTATAACTAACTCCGTGTCCCAACGGCAGAGCTGTGAGCAGCTCCAACTCAGTTGCACTTAAAACCTGCCCCTGGAGTCAGGGGAGGTCTGCTTATAGCACCCTGCCCTGACAAGTCTGAAATCCAGGGGTTCAAACTTTAAAGGGGGGCTACTGCTACCTTTCCCTTTGGAACAGGAACTTACAGGCCATGGCGAAGGCCGTTGGGTGATGCAGCAACGGCCCCCTTCTCCAGTTGCCAAACGGCTGCCCTGGGAGGCGGCTCTTTGCTGGGGTGAGAGAGCAGCTGTAAGGCGCCCTTGGCCCTCCTGCCCCCCCTGCTGCCCTGGCAGCCAGAGGAGCCGGGCACGGCCCAGCCAGGGTCTCCCATCAGCCCAGCTGTGAGACACCAACTCTGCGGAGAGGAGTCACAGGAAGGGGGCAGATGTTCCCTCCTGCGACCGGCCGGCCCCGTGGCCCCTCCCTCTGCCCTGTTTATCCAGCCTGCCCTGGCTGGAGCCCTGGGGCAGAATCCCTCGCCTGGCCCAGAGCTGCAGGCGGAAGTGGCTGTTTCTCTCCCTCCTCCCTACCCTGAGCTCTCCGGACTCTGGGCCTGCAGAGGGAGCCCAGTGTCCCATCTGGTAGCTAATCTCTCACTGCTGTCTCTCCTGCCCCTCCCCGCCCTGCCCCACTTGGAGCGGGGTGGGGATGGGGGTTTATCAGCCAGGTGTCTCACTACCCTGGGACGCTCTGTCTTCCAGAGAAACCTGGGCTCTGCCCTGTGTTCCCTCCAGACACCATTGGGATCTGTGCCCTGTTGTGCTCCAGTGACAACGACTGCCCTGGAGCAAAGAAGTGCTGCAGTGTTGGGTGTGGCCAGATGTGCCTTGCCCCCACGCACGTGAGGTTCAGTGTCTAGAGTGAGCCCACAGCTCTTTGGGGAGGAGGGGAAGGGCTGGGGGAAGCTGGCGAGCAGACAGGGAGGGGAGGACTCAGGCATGTTATCTGTGCAGCCGGCCTCGCCAACTGGGTTTCCAGCCGCCTCCCGGGGCTGCTCTGGACCATCTTCCTATTCAACATGTTCATAAATGATCTGGAGAAAGGGGTAAGCAGGGAGGTGTAAGTTTGTAGACAACACTAAATGGCTCAAGGTATTTCAGACCAAAGCAGGCTGTGAAGAACTTCAAAAAGATCTCACCAAACTGAGTGACTGGGCAACAAAATGGCAAATGAGATATAATGTGGATAAATGTAAAGTAACACACATTGGGAAAGATAACCCGAACTATACGTACAGTATGATGGGGGCTAATTTAGCTCCAACTAATCAGGAAAGAGACCTTGGAGTCATCGTGGATAGTTCTCTGAAGACGTCCACGCAGTATGCAGCGGCAGTCAAAAAAGCAAACAGGATGTTAGGAATAATTAAAAAAGGGATAGAGAATAAGATGGAGAATATTTTATTGCTCTTATACAAATCCATGGAACGCCCACATCTGGAATACTGTGTACAGATGTGGTCTCATTATCTCAAAAAGGATATACTGCATTAGAAAAGGTTCAGAGAAGGGTAACTAGAGGTTTGGAACAGGTCCCATATGAGGAGAGATTAAAGAGACAGCGACGGAAAGATTTATAAGACTGTGACTCTTCGGCTTGGAAAAGAGATGACTAACGGGGGGACATGATATAGGTCTATAAAATCATGACTGGTGTGGAGAAAGAGTTATTTACTCCTTCCCATAATAAAAGAACTAGTGGGTCGCCAACTGAAATGAATAAGCAGCAGGTTTAAAACAAACAAAAGGAATTACTTCTCTGCTCGACACACAGTCAACTTGTGGAACTCCTTGCTAGAGGATGTTGTGAAGACCAGGACTTAAAAAAAAGAACTAGATACATTCATGGAGGTTAGGTCTCTCAATGCTAATTAACCAGGATGGGTGGAAATGGTGTCCCTAGCCTCTGTTTGTCAGAGGCTGGGAATGGGCGACAGGGATGGGATTACTTGATTCCCTGTTCTATTCACTCCCTCTGGGGTATCTGGCATTGGCCACTGTGGGAAGACAGGACACTGGGCTGGATGGACCTTTGGTCTTACCCCGTCTGGCTGTTCTTATGTCCCGAGGTCACACAGCCCCTAGCCCTTGGCCCTGCTGCCAGGACAGCCACTGCCCAGGAAGGGATTGGTGTAGCTGCATCAGCTGAGGGTCTGTGCCCCCATGTCCCTGCAGCCTTCCGGGAGCCAGTGCGTGCAGGAGCTGGCTGCTGCCTCACGCTACAGAGGCTGTGAGGATGGCAGCCGGCTCCCCAGGAGCGGGGCAGGAGCCTGTGTGTAACCATGAATGCTCACTCCTAAGCCCAGGCTTATTGGTTAACCGTGTACATGGTTCCATGCTCCCATCCCTAGCTCTGACTGCACCTGACACCGAGGGGGGACTAACTCAGCTGAGCGCTGGGGAGCACTGAGCCCTGGGTGCCAGGATCTCTGTGCCTTGCCCCTGTGTGTGAGGCAGGCCAGGGTTACA